GGAGCGAGAGAACGACCGGTGTCAGGTTGCAATTTCGTGTGACGGGGCTAGTTAGAGTCGCGGACACGACATAATTACCCAAGTTGCCAACAGCACGTTGGACCTTCTTGCCCTGTCTTGCCCAGAGAAGACAATGCCAGTCCTTCGTTCCTTTTATGACTTCCGCCAGCATTCACTGCCCCGTCGATAGACAATACGGTCTACAATCGTCTCGATTAATTTTAGAATTATTTTTAGCGAGCTGCCTGCCGATCCGAATGTGGGAGAATCATAGCTCCTTCTCGAACCGTCCAAAATTACCGACGTTAATTACTTACTTTTCGTTACGCGCGGACTCTGTTTGTTCGTGGTTTGCGTATGATATTCAGCGATGGAAGCGTGCGCAAAGAGGCTGACGTCTGACGCGACTGAATTGAATTCGAGGAAATCGGAATCGCGTCGCGATTGAAAATCACACGGTGTGAGAGCGGTGCCTCGAGAATCGCAACAAGTGTGGCCTCCTTTCAAAGCGCGTATCAATCAATTAATATTATCTCGCGTCGCGCGCCGATGAGCGAGTTGCTCGGAGATCACGAGAGAATCGACGAATATCGATTGACTTGCTTTTGAAATCGATGTCAATCAATCGATGTTATTTCTTCGCGCTCGCCTGTTAAATATATCGATGTTAATGTCGTTTCATTAACACGCCCGCTAATAAAATCTATTACGCGATCGAACACACCGACTGATAGAATCTTTTGCCGAATAATTTGGTAAAAGGGTTCTTGCGTGTGCTTCCCATCCAATCGATACGAAAACGTAACAGCCTCTCTCTCTCTCTTTGTGCATATATACGTGTATGTGTGTGTGCGTGTGTTTCGAGAATGTTTGCGCTCGCGTGGTCGTGCGGGTGCGCTTTGAACGCGCGGCAAGGCAACGAGGTGTTTAATTAAACAGAGCCCTGTTTGCCGTGCTCGTTGTATCTTGGACCGATCGATTGGTCTTCTTTCATTGGTGCCTTGGTGGAAAATTGATTCGTTGATGAAGGGGAGTAGCGAGGGGAGGAGAGGCGCTCCTGCGTTCGAATACAAAGCGCGAAACACGCGCGTTTAACGTGCTTTACATAATTCCAAATGAAATATGAACGCCTCGAATTTAGCCGTCGCTTGCCACTAATTATTAATCACCTATTTATGATCGATGGTCAAATTAATTGGCGATACGTGAATTAACAATTATCGCCAATTAATTGATAGATCTCAGCGCACAGTGTAGTTTTTAATCCGAAATACGGAATAGTCCTTTGGTAGAGTGAAGATTGCGAAAGGAAGTTTCAAGAATTACGAGTACGAGCTTAATAAATTCATCGTCCATCGTAAAGAAGTACGATTCTTCGCGAAGGAGCTTGTGTTTCTTTCCCTTCAATTTCGACAACAGGCTCGAATAATAAAATGCAAAAACTACACGGCACCTCGGATGTTGATAAATCATCTACACCTTTGTTGCAACGTTCAAAGAGTTTCGGACCAGAGTTCGCACACGTACGCGTGATTTTCGATTCGTTTGCGTCTCGTTTTCGTCAAAAGTTTCGTCGTGAACGCGAACGAATGCTGCTAATGCAACGAGTTCCGTACGATCGGCATTTAACTGTGAAGATCAATGCGAAAAGTCGTCGTTTCTCTCGCGAGTAAATCGAGATCAGTGAATTTCATTCGGGCGAGAATAAGGCGGAAGGCAGACGAGATTTTCAAAGTTGAAAGCTCAACTCGCGAAATCGTCGAATATACGGAACGGAGGAGGCAGGAAGAATGATGTACAATTAAAATGACGTGGTTACACGTCGAACAGAGGCGTATAAATATTTGATTTGGAATTCCAGTGTTTGAACGACTCAATAATCCTCGAACGAGAGAGAGAAAAGAAAAGTTCTCATCGAGTTGAAAGTTACCAAGTAGTTCCCCATTGGAAAATTAACCCCTTTGACTTCCTTTTTCCCGCCCCGTGCGAAACACTCCGCGTAAACAATGCTCGCTCTAATTCGTGGAATTTTTAATTTACTTTTCATTTCACGCCGCTTTCGCACTTTCTCTCTCTCTCTCATTTTCGTTGTACCAAATGCACGCGCACCGGGATCGCACTGTTTAGATTTTTCAAAAAGTAAGAGAGAAAGAGAGAGCGTTTTATCACCAGATAAAAAGTTTCTTTTTTCTTTCTCTGTATTCACGCGTCGATAATTCGACTTGAGTTATTAATCCAATGAAGCGACGTTGACTGTCAGTTTTTTTTCTAGAAACTCTTTGTTATTTTTCTTCTTTTGTAAATTCTGTGAAAGTTTGACGTCGGAAATACGCCTGAAAATAAAGGTTTCACGCAATCGTGCGATCCAGAATGTTCGATAAATTAAAGATCGATCGCGACAATAATTTTTCACAGCCACGTGGACACTGCGTGGTAACTATAACTTTGCTGATTTCGCGAACACATAGCGATCGTTTTTAATCGGCTCGTTAATCCTGTATGGCGGATCGAACTTTCAACGTGTTGGTCTTTCACGTTGTTAACAGACAGAGAGAGAGAGAGAGAGAGAGAGAGAGGGGGGAAAATTTTCCACGAAACTAGGCTGAAGCCCGAACGAAAATTCTCATGCATGAAAGATGAAACATAATAATGAAGTCTCTTGGAGTTTGTTCAAGCCTATTGCATGATCGATCGCTCGCTTAAAGGCGCACCGGCCTTAACGTTCTTTTTCTTTTCTTTTTCCTCCTCTTTCCTCCGTTTTTGTTTTAGACGACGATGGAAAATCGGAGACTTCGGTGAAATATGATCCTGAAACTTCGTTTCCCCAGCTTGTTCCTCGCGAGAGATTTCCCTGCTTTACAAGCGTGTCAAAATGGAAACTGATCGAATTGGTTCGAACAAACAGACCTCGTGTCCCGATTACAAAGATACTTGAAGAATAAATAATTCACGGAATATCGTGTTCAAACTGCTGTGATTATTACGAATTATCTGAAACAAGTGGTTGCTTTGACTTTGCATTTGCTCAAAACAAATTTGACAACGATACACCGCGGCGCGCGCAACGACGACGTTCGAGAAACCTCGGCGCGGATTTACTTTATTTCGTACACTCGGGAAACCGAGGAACCGTAAGAATCCAGCGGTTAATCGAGAATCCACTGTGCGCGCCACCGTGTGTATGTGTGTGTGTGTGTGTGTGTGTGTTGAGATTCGTTCGCGGAAAAATTTAAAATTCGCGGAGGCGGAAACTGCCCGGGCATAACCGCGAAGGAACAGCTTCTCGTTTCTCGGGGAACACTCGAGCCTAGCGTTAAGGAAACACGCGAACAGATGCCGAAGTAAAGAAGGAATAATTCACGGGAATAAGTTGACGCGTTTTCCGCGAGCACTTGCCCCCTGGAGACAAAGTTCACGACACGAAACATCTGAAACCCTCTGGATATCGAAACCGAGAATCCTGATCCTGTCTTCGCGGAACTTTGAAACAAAAATTCTTCCTTCGCCGTCGTGTTCTTGACTCTAACATTTTCCAAGCTCTTCTTCTCCTGTTTCTTTCTACGATTAATTTATCACTCGGTTGTAATAATAATTCAGATTGTAATAATGGTGTATCTGTAGGAAATACATGAAAGTTCAACTGTAAAGAAATGTACGTATGTACATGTTGGAAATACCCGAGGTATTTAATAGGTGAAACAAGTTCATTATTTCCAGATATCGTAACTTTGAAACGAGAACTTCTTCCGTTGCTTCTTTAGTATTCCTTCTACGATCAATTTATTATCGTATTATACTACTTGGAGATCAACGATGACAACAGTAGCGCATTTGTGAAAAAACATAATAGTTCAAGTGTAGAAAAGAAATATATACAAAATACCCCCGATACAAAATATCCAAGTATTTAATACGTTTTATTAATTACTATGTCCTTTTCAAATAGTTTTAAATGGTCCCATAAAATGTAAATTTGCACGAAAGTCCGAGTAACAAGCTGCTGCTAGCCTTTGCTGCTATAGAAAAAAAAAAAAAAAAA